TATATACAATAATAATAGCTTTTTAATAAAAAAAAATGGTGCCCCTTGGGGGAGTGGTGCCCTAGGCCATTGCCTAGGTGCCTACCCCCCATGGACGGCTCTGTTGAAGAGGACACTTCGAATAAGAGTTTTGAAGTTTGGAATTGCTCATTAAATTAGTGATAGTTTGTTATTTTAAATTTTCCCCTTCATAATGTATAGTAGGCGTTGAGTTAGGTGGAGCTTTGTATTATTGAGATTTATCGATAAGTAGATTAGTTTAAAAAAAGTTACCTATGTAAATACTTTGTTTAAATATATTACTTTATTTTATTTTTAGTTTAAATTATATAAATTGCATTGACTCGAAGGATTTATTGTTTCTCTTGATATTTTAATAATGCAGCCAATGGGTATAGTTTTATAGGATGTAACATATATATTTGTTTTAAAATTTATTGAGGCAAGGTGGATTTATTGCGTCTAATTTTTTTAACAAAAATATAGATACATCTAAATAGCATTAGTAGCAACCGACAATGTATGACATTGCGATATTTTGAATTACTAGAATATGGTTGTCTTTGAATACATTTTGAGACAATTAGTATGTTGCCTCCAATGAGATTTTGAGGCTAGATGATAAGGTTGCCTTTAATTGTATAACTTTTAGCATCACAAGTTTGGTTGCCTTTGAATATAGTTTTAGATGCAATCACCATTTAACGACCAATCATTCAGAGGCAACATATATATAGTATTAAAAAATGATTAGAGGCTAATTTTCTATCTTTAGAGGCAAATATATGTGTGTTGCATCTATAAGTTCATTTTTTGTAGTGTATAATTTAGTTTATTTTCCAAAATTTTTTACTCATTTCTATGTATTTCATGATAGAATGTGTACTTACATTGAATATTTATCATCATTTTCTTTATCCCGTGCAACGCAAGGGTAAAAGACTAGTTAGTCATTAAAGAATCAGTTTCTACTAAAAAGGCAGTTAAAAATATAATTTAGTTTGATTGTATTTATATACAATGTTCATATTTTTTTGAAAGATGCAAAGGTGGTGAGGATATGATTAAAAAATAAGCAAGGGATCACATATAAGTTATTTAGTTTTAAAATAACTAAATTGTGATAGGCAAGATATGATTCATTACTTTTCATATCAGTTACTTTAGAATGACAAGGGGGTGGTAAATACATGGTTACAAAATAAAAGAATATATATCTCGCATTGAATGCGATTAAAAGGCATCTCTAGAGAAAGATCATATGAGATTTTATGGGTTACTTAGCATTCCCATATTAAGTTCACTTTGTATAAGAATACAAAGATTGTGAGAATGCTAACATTTCCTGATAGGAGTAGACACTAAAGTGACTTCACATCTACTATTTAAGTAGATGTAAACTGACTTCAAACCTAAACGTTTTTAAGTTTTAAAAAAAATCTTCAAGTTAAAGTTTTTGAATATGATGTGCACATTAGTAAAATATCAAAACTCAAGTTACATTATCTCATACAACAGTGAACAGTCTGACTGATCCTAGGAGTTCCCAGGACTACAATGCCATTTTTTTCTAATTAGTAATATTACAGTGAGATAAGGGAGAAGCCTGAATGCATAAAACAAAGTCATCAACTACGAGGTATCATTTGACCAATCATATTTTGACTTTTTGTACATAAACTTTGAGGATTAATCTTTGAAAAATCTGATGTATATGGATCATACTTATAAATATTCATCTTTACTAATATGAAATTAGTGTACTAAAAGGCTCATTTCTTTTTTACAGTTTATCATGTGTATCCTTATCTCAATCCTTGGCAATGACTTGATGAGAGTGATGGTAGTGAAGCAATGGGTATTGTACTAAAAGCCTATCCATTTTTACTTCATTACTTGCCCTAAATGGAATGGGCCTCTTAGTTGCGTTGCACTCTAACTCGAGTCCCCACGTCTGCTTTTGGCTGTTCAAGACCCAATGCATAGAAAAAGTCGTCAAGCTGATTGTGCTATTTCATGATATGCGGTTTTATTTTTATACTCGGAATTAGAATACTCCTCCTCTTCTTTACATTTTGTTGTGTGTTTCCGTATATGTGGTTGCTGATACCATACTCCGTATTTTTTTTTGAACGAATACTCCGTATTTCTATAACTTTGTATACAACAAAATATTTCTTTGATTTGTAATTGTCTCATGATGTGTTTTTTCCTGCTTTTTTCTTCTTGATTTGAGGAGACTTTATCCAAAGATAATTAAGAAATTGATTCTAACTTCTAAGGATGTTTTTGCTTGGACTGTTTTCAGTCCCAGACCAGACTTGAATAATTATAAAATATACCGAGATCATACATTTACCATACCCGTTAAGATTAGATCAGACCGGACAAGATCAACAAATTTCAGTCCAAGTATAAACATCCTAAAAGGAGATCATTGCTTAAAACTATTATAGTGAGAAGCTTTATATCCATACAATTGAAAGGGGAAACATTTATTGGTGTGTTAAAAATGACATAAAGGTATGGAATCATGACAAAACTAAAACTAATTAAATGGGTTGGCAATAGTGTAGAAAGAGATAGGTATGTGTAAAATCGTAAGCATCCCATTACCCATAAAAATGAGTCATTCCCCGTCATGTATCCATGCATATCAGGTCACTGCAATTTTCTCATTTTGATCAGAGCGGTTCAATAATGTTTTTCCTGTTGCTGGCCACCGCCACTTCGGCTTCTATTCTTCTTCTGTTCACCTCATCAACCATCTCCCCCGGTCAATTGACGGTATGTTTTTTGTTCGGAATGGCAAGGAATATTGAAATTGGGTAACTCAAGCTAGAGTCAAGGTGCACTCAATTATGTGCATAGCACGTCACAAGAAGATAATTTTCAGGTTTGATATGCAATTTTAAAAGCTTTTCTAAGTCTAATATTCTCACAAAATGATTTAATCATCATCTTCTAAGTTTGTATAAGAACTCCAAATTAGAGGCTTTCAAGTAATATTCGTTTTCATCTGAAATAAACTGAATGTGAATCAGTGAATCTAATTTCTTTTGAATTAGTGAACGTTCCATTTAAATTATCTAATTTATAAAGATGAAATTTACAGGGAGGGGAGAGTGACGGAGTGTATTGTAACAAAAATGTGTTTTTATATTCATATGTATGTTCTGTTTTTTAGGAATGTCTTCTTCACTATTGAACTTTATATGAAGGCTACCTCAGGTAGGTGTATTCTTTGGTGTAGTGCAGTATCCATTTTGTAAAGACTGTAATTGCTTTGCACAGAGAAGGAACACCATAGATCATGCATGATTTTTGTATCTCAAGAATAATAGTCAAGAGCAAACGTTAGGAACTGTAGGTCTTTTCTTCCGATGTCATGTTTCTACACAGGAATAATTGTATGTTGTAGTTTCAAAAGTGATAAATTCGTCTGACTTGAAGTTGGTAATATATGCTGACGAGAGAAATAAGAAAAAACTGTAAACAATATCATCATAAAGAAGTCTTCAATAATTTTTAAAGTGTGTGTTTATTAACTTTTATTTAATTATTTATTTACGGTTAGCGTCATCCACATGATAAAAAAGACTACGACGTACGTAGTATGATTTATAGTTATATTCATAGGTCAACATTAATAATATATGTATTTACATCCCGTGCAAGGCACGGGTGGAATACTAGTTACTAAAACGCTCATATGAGTATCTTTTGAGCTAGTGGTACGTACCAAACATACTCATGTACATTACATATGGTATATTTATATATACTCCAAATAATTCATATATTATGAATAAAGTAGTTTATAGTTTTTATACATTTTATAGTCATAGTATGTGTAATATTAAAATGTACTACGTACTTCGTATTAATTATGTAATTTTATTAGATCTGATATTTTTTATTTAAGAAATTATATACACAATATTTTCAACGTATATCATTATTATGCACTAGATTATTGGATGAATACGAACTTTTTCACAATTTGATACTTAAAAGTATGTTATAAAGAACAAAAATGTGAAAATATCTAGAAACACTATTAGTTCATTCAACATCCATTGTTGCATAGATCTCAAATAAATATGTGGTTCTAAAACATATCCCGATCATTAACCTGATTCCAAAACAAGTGTTTAGTACTAATTCCAATCTATGACTCATAAAAAATACGGAGTATGTGCCTTTTATAAAATTGCCCTCAATTGGACATCTAAGCTTAAAATAAGAATATTTGATTTTTTATACTACCTTCATCCCGAAATGAAGTTTCTCTTCATTATTCATCGGTCAACTTAAACCACTCATAATCTTTTACTTTATATATCAAATTTTATCAAATTTAAATTTTATTGATCAGATTTTGTAGCAGTTTTAATGCAGTTTCTGAATATGTGAATTTTATTTTCTAAAAAATATCCGAATGTAAACAGGGATCGAGTTGCTTTAATGTCAGTCACGCATCGTAAACCGAACAGGAACTTCTTACGGGAGTACATTTTGTAAAAATTAGGAGGAGGATACTGAGTTTTTTTCCGTATTAATGTTAATTAATTAATTAATTACGGAAATAATGCTGGAAAAAAAGTATTTACCAAAATACTGCTGGCCGTAACCATGGTCAGGGGAAAGTCGCCCAACGGTTGGGCGACTTATAAGTCGCCAAACGGTTTGGCGACTTATAAGTCGCCCAACCGTTGGGCGACTTTCCCCTGAAATATGGTTTGAGGCGAGCAGCTACTGCCAGCCACGCACGATCGTGCCTACAAGGGTAGGCACGATCGTGCCTATTTCCTAAAACACCAATTCAGCTTGTTTTTCGCCCCGATTCAATCCAGACCGATCTGTTTGCTACAAATAAGGTCTCACTTCTCCTTTTGAAGTGTTACAAACTAGATACAACACATGATAATCACCTACTCTCAACAACATAAAAAACACCTTATAAACACCGCTAAAAAACTTTCAAATCATAACCGGTATAACACAGTTCAATCATCATATATGCCATAACAAATAATCATCTAATATTCATACTCGAACACATCAATACAACATAGAATACTTAACAAGAGAAAATACATCAAAACTTGTAAATTGTTCCTACAACATCTACTGCATAAGAAAAACAACAATACAAAAGACAAACTACAAGTTCCCATCATCAGCTTCGTCATGGAGATGTTGCTGCTCATGTCTACGCCTACGGCGTTGTCGTGGTTGAAGAACCACTCTCTCATGTTGCGTCTGGGATGATGAAGCCGCGGCTGCACTAGACGTGGATGCCATCTCCTGAGATGCGGGCATGTGTATAAGATGTCCGTAGTCTACTCGACCCAACACATCTGAGCATAACGAGGCAATGCCTGTCAGAGTCTGTCCATACATGTCCACCTCAAACTCACCATCGGGGGTAAACCTTTTCTCACCTAATCCACTCATCCACGCATCAGTAAAACCTTCAGGGAGATCATACATTCTTGTGAAGTGGCTAGACGGGGCAGTTGATGTCACAGTATCACCATCATCTTCATCAGATTCTGTCATGTCGTCACCATTGATGTTCTCGTCTGCATCATCATCACTTCCCTGCCCATCCACAAATGATGCACCGTTGTGCAAATACCTGCCATCCTCCTGTATAACCATGTCTAGTACAGGAACCTTTGACGACTTCCGTGCATTCACCCCTGCAATGACATCATGCCTGGATACAACAGCATGTGATGTTGATTGAGTACCATAAGTGTCACAGGATTCCTCAATGTATATCTCCAGCGTTGACATATCCTCCATCTGAATTATGCCCCACATATTTGTTATAGCTAGCTCATCAATGAGCGGCATAAGCATGTACTTTCCCCCGTTCATGGGAAATTTCATTTTCAACCGCAATGAACGGTCGGGATGAATCATTGTGACTGCATGTATTTTTTGAAGGATCTCGAGCATGCAAGCGCCACGAGAAACCATGACAAAGCTCGTTCTGCCACCTTCATGGCATATTTGCCCACCATTCTCATAATAGTTCCCTCCCCAATGACACACGAGTGGGAAGCTTGAGAAATCCATATTCTAATAACAATTCATTGTCCAACATTCATGAGTAGGCATCAATATACACACTTTATACACATTCACATTTTTAATAGAAATTGCTTCCAAAATTGTAATATATCATTAACTCCAAATTCACAAACAATTCACATTTCAATAACAAACTACCCAAATTTTGATATCTACCCAAATTTAGGTACATTCAACTATACCCAAATGCCCAAATGTCAAAATACACATTACAATTTACAAACAATTTAAAATCAAATTTCAACATTTCATACATATCCACATTTCACAACAACTTCATTCACAATCAATTCATAATCCCAAAATTTAAAAAAATTAACATTCTAAACCCTAAGTGCAAAATTAAATGAAATGGATTTGGATTTACCTAGAATAAGGAGTAAAGAGTGTTGAAGATGAAGATGTAGGTTTGCCGGAGTGGGGTCGCCGGAGATGGAGGTTCGCCGGAGTTAGAAGTGGCTCGGTCGTCTTCGTCCTTCGTCCGTTCGTCGCTGCGGGTTGGGGGTTTTGGGAAATGTTTTACGCACAGATCTGTTTTGGGGCACTGCGATGAACTTACTTAAGGGAAAGTCGCCCAACGGTTGGGCGACTTATAAGTCGCCAAACCGTTTGGCGACTCATAAGTCGCCCAACCGTTGGGCGACTTACCCCGACCATGGTTAACCCAACAGTATTTTTGTAAATACTTTTAACCCAACCCTATTTTCGTAATTAATTAATTAATTAACATTAATACGGAAAAAACTCTCGAGGATACTGAATTACTCGCCATTGAGAGATCTACGGGAGCGGGACGAATGTGATGATCCACCATGTTAATGTGATAAAGTCATAAAGGCAATGGCTTAATGTTGGGAAAGCTATGAGAGCTGTGCTAACATGATGATCGACGTGCTGAATGGATGATGCAATGTGTTACTTTGAGAGTTCTTTGCTGAATGGACGATGAAATGTCTTACTTTGAGAGTTCTTTAAGGGCATCTCCAATGCTAGAGTGCATTGGAGTTGCATGTCACCAATTGCATCTTCTATGATAAAATCTACCTTCCAATAGAAATGTAAATGGAAATACAAAATCTGAATTGGAAAAGGCAGAGGTCCAACACAAGGTCTACAAACAGATCCCCGGTGCCACCTTCTGACACTCCAGATAAGCAAGGAACTCATTATTCTGCACTGTACGTAGCTTTCCTTTCTTCTTTCATAAATTTTGATTTATTTTGTTGTTGTTCCCTTTCTGCATTGGAGTACACTTCAAATAGACTTCTCTATTTGCTGATATTTGCTCTAGACCCTCTCTATTTTCTTGCCACATAAGGAGCAATTCAACGTGAGCATTGGAGATGCTCTAAGAGATGAGCGGATGATCAATGTGCTGATGAAGGTAATAACTTAACAATGATAGTGTATGATCAATCATTGATGTAAAGATATCTTGGTGAAATATGCACTTCATACATTATTCAATTCATATTGAGACTTTCTGTAGAGCATGTCTAAAAACAATTATAACTATGAATAGAGGTTAGTACCCCTAAATTGTGTCATCCTCTTATATGCATTAATACTTGTACTGTTTTATAAAATTAATGTGCTTAATTTTTTGTGGTCAAAAATATCCTTCTACTACCGTTAGCTAAAAGAACGCCGTTTGACTTCTCCACCCATTTTGTAAAGTATTTCAATGAAAGTTTATGATTTATGACTTGTCCACCCGTTTATGATTTATAATTTTTAACTTTATGTTATTTAAATAATAAAGTACTCCACTTAATTTATGAAATATCATATACGAATATCTACCTTATTAATTTACTCAACTTAAATATAGTGAAACTTGCATGTTGTGTTTACCTTTTTTAATCGGTTTATAATAAGAATTACATAAATATAATCAAAATAAAGACGATTTACAAAAAATATGATTAGTTACTAGAGTAGTAATGAAATCATAGTCATTCATGTTCAAGTTTTGAACTTAATTTACCCCACCACTATGTTGTAGTAATGAATAATTACATTTATGTGAATAAGTTTTATTTTAGTAATATTCTTGTAAAAAAAACTCAGAAATAATATTTGTAGAGAAACTCAATTGACTCTATAAATTTCTAAATAACTTCAATTGACTCAACTAAATTTGAAAGAGCGAGAGTTTTCAAATGTTAGTTTTTATTTATAATTGATATTTAAATTTTAACATGCTTAATTACCTTCTTTAACCTTCAATGGGACAAACTTTTTAATGCATAAATTTGAATTATAATAATTATTCAATTAAAAATTATGTTTGGATACCAACGTTGTCATGGATTTGACACTGATCCCTGCCAAAAATCTTTATTAAATATGTTTAGGCACAAATAGTCCCCACTAAATCCATGACAAAGGTTCGTTCCAAATCTCTGCTTGGTCTATTGATTTTTGCGAGATTTTTATGAATTGGACTTTATCATACTAGATCAGATCAAAACATATCAGTCTAATTAAAAACATCCTAAATTGAAACTCATTTAAAAAATGATTACTTTTACATATGGACAAAGTTGACTAACAAGATAAAAACTTGGAAAAAGATGATATCAGTGATATCACTATATGTTTTTTGTGTCACTAACAATTATCAGATGTTATTGGTCGTGGTTATAGATGTCACTACCGCCATTAAACATGTCATTATGACCGCCATAAAACTTTCTTGTCACTTCTACTGGTGAGTTTAAAAAGAAAAAAGAAAAAAATCAAACAAATAGCGTCACAATTTTCGGACTACGGTTTCTGGCAGCGATTGTGAGTAACAGTTCCTGACGGCGACAGTTAGGCTGGTGTACGTGGGCTGGGGGCTAAGGTAGAGATTGAATATAAATTACAATGAGGAAAAATTGAATTAATTAAACAAAAATTAGTCCTATTTTTGGAGAAAAAAACTATCCACTTTTTCATATTTCAAAAGGCTATATGTAAAATTTGTGACCTTTTTTTTTGCAATTTACAACTATTACTTCATATATTAAAAACAAAAATATAGCTAATTCATATAATCACATACTCTTAAATATAGACATAATTTTCACACAATATTTGGCAATTTATGAAAAATATAGGATATGTCAGTAACTATTTAAATAACCTCATAACAATCTCGCATGTAATATTAATTCATAAAAAAGAACATTACCTTTATATTGGGCAAACGATCTCGCGCCTTGCGCGAGCAAACGCATGTTTTTATTATAATCTCCGTTCCAGTAGTATTGAAACACGAGGAGATAGTACAATTATTAAAAAAAAGTAAATTTTTGTGATTTATATTGAATTGATTTAGAATCACACAATATTTACCAAATTTGGCAGCGTCGTCTAATGAATTTGGAGCACCAATTCCAAATGTAAAAAATGAGGCCCCACATTAATATAAAAAACCCCAAAAACATCAATTTAAATATTTATATTCAAATCAACTGAATACTCATTAAATAATGCAACTAAAAAAATTCTAAAACTGACTTAATGTTCAATTGCAACTCATTGCTCAAATAATTTGAATAAAAAAGGATTACAACGGACCGACAAAAAAAGATGAATCTGAGACTAATTAAGAGAGTATTGTTTAGTACTCCCTCCGTCCCCCTATATTTGGGACAAAGGGGTGTGGTGGAATTTTTAAGAAAAAGTAGATATGTGTGGTTCATATTAAATTGATAAAGTGTGAATAGTGTAAGAATGAATTATAGCCACCCAAACTTTATCAAATATGGTATGAGACAAACTTAATAGGACGGATGAAAAAGGTAAAACGGGACAAAGTTAGGGAGACGGATGAAGTACTACTTTCGCTCCACTAATATTTGGACATGAGAAGATGATACTATTATTAAGTAAAGTTAATGTATATGGTTAATATCGAATTGATAGAGTAAGATGAAGTAAAACTGCACAAAATTATTAAAAAAAAGTTAATGTATGTAGTTAATACCGAATTGATAGAGTAAGATGAAGTAAAACTGCACAAAATTTTATCAAATTTGGTATAGAATAATTATAGTAGTTGGTAGTTGGTATACCCTCCGTCCCATTTTACTTGTTTAACTTTCCTTTTGAATTGTTTCAAATAAGTGTCACATTTCTTTTTTTGGATAAAAATATGTGATCTACTACATTTTACTTTATTATACACGATCTCAATCACAATTTTTACTTTTTCAACCGGGAAGCTAGTATAAATTAGATTTTTGTTCACTAAACTGAAAAATGATGAAGTAAACCTTTTACTTTGTTCTCTGCTTAAACCCTAACCCTCGACGTGCTCCCTCATTCGCCGAACAGATGGGGAGGTCCAGAAGGAAATACAAGCGAGCGAGAACTAAGGTGCGAGTCGGATTGCCAAAGAAAAATCCTCATTTATTCAAGCCGGCGTTTAACTTGCCGCCGAAGCTCCGGTCACTGCTGGATCCTCTCTCGCAGTGGGACGCAGAGGGCAGCGTTATTGCAAATTACAAGTCCTTCGGCTTTCTCTCAAATCCAAACATGCTTGGCGTGCGCTCCCGCACCTCCCACATCGTCGAAAGCGAGTCTCTTCAGGTCCCGCCGCCCTTGTCCTCCGACGGCCCTGAATCGGATGCCGAGTTTCAGCCGATTGATTCCGGCAGCGATCTAGAGGAAGATGGTTAGTCAAAAGTTCCAATCCCTCTCCATATGCATTATGCCTTTTGTGCTTGTTAATTTAATCACCGCGTTTAACGGTGCCATCTATTATCGTTGTTTATTTGATGGTGATATAAGTTCAAATGTACATTCACTGATTCACGCAAGTAATATTGTTCGCTCAGGCTTGATTTCCTAGTTCCTATTACTAGATTCTTCGATTCAGAATCATGGATAAATTTTATAATTAGACTGACTTGGGTCCTATTATTTCACCTGATAGTTAACATGTATAACCAGAGCTTGACTTTGATTAAAAATACATCTTTAGTACTTCAGTAGTATATATTTAGGCTATTGCATAATACGTAATATATAAGAACTTCTTGAACCACAAATATACGGAGTATTATTTAACAATTTGATCTTGAGAAGTGATTAGATTTTGAAGAAGTATGAGATGACATGATTTTTCTGGAAGCATCATTGAATATTATTTAAAGCCAGTTTGTTAGGGTTGTATAGTTTGGTAGATTCTGAATTTTCTGGAAGGCATTTGTTTTCCATTTCAGCAAAACAAGCATGTGAAGTGAAACAATCCTGAACAGAACAAACCACTTCTGTCTTACCAATCAGTGCCCTAAGAAATTTAAATGAAGCTTCAAATTTCATTTGTAGTATTTTCTGCAATTGTTTGGTACAATTTAAAAATTGAGACTTTATATGGGTTTTTCAGAACTTAACATTTCTCTTACTGTGTGGTAACCATTTTTGTGCGTCTCCAGATCTGAAGTCGGCACTTGGGAAGAAGCGGAGGGATGGACGAAGTGCACCTCCTCAACCACTAACCGCCATTCAACGGGTTTATATCCAAAGACTTGTTGATGAATATGGGGACAATTACCAGGTATGTGTGAGTTTGTGGAAAAATGATTTTTCTTACTTTTCATTGAAATTGTAATGTCATTACTTAATTCAAAGTTTGAAACATCTTAATGTAACAGAGAATGTTCATGGACACAAAACTAAACAAGATGCAGCACTCAGTAGCAACACTGGAGAATCTGTGCAAAAGATATCAGTTGTACCGTGATAAAAACCCCTTGATTGTGGGTGCTTAGAGAACAATCAAATTTTTTGTACGTTAAACAGGACGAGTTTATTTATGCATGTAATGCTACAATTTTGCCTTTTTCTGTGTGTGCTCAAGATTATAATTTTTAGCTTTTAGTATACTCTAGTACTCTGGTGATAGCAATTGACAAGTAAAATTGAGACACTTTAATTAATTACCGTGAGGCTGTCCTCATCGCTGTCTTCGCCGATCGTGAGACTGTCCTCGTCGCTGTCTTGCCATCAGATGCTGCTGCAAGGCACTTTGCCTTATGATCCATTTTATACAAAGACGTTTTCCAAGTTTTTTGGAGGAAAGACTCATGTTATTAATGTTTTTAGAGATAATGGGGAAAATAATTTACTCTTGCACTTCCATCGAACTAGATCCTTGGGCCCTAGTTATGCATCAATTATGCTCTTTATATTGAGAGGAATATGTGTAACTTCGTTTATAATTGCAATGAGTAATAGGCTGAATAAGTTTAGTTCGAATAGGGCATGTCATGTCCTGACACCAGGCTTTTCACATCTATGGAATGAAACAAGAAGGTAAGAACTATGGCAATGAATGGATAATATCATAATATGCATAATTTTGGTAAAAGAGAAACATTATTAGTGGAAGGCTGAAGGAAGAAAAACAAAACGAAGATAAGTGTCAAATGAGTATATTAACTTGTATGAGTAAAGAGTATGATATTAACAAGGACATAAATTCGGCCTTTTAACATTAATTGATACATCTGCTAGACTAAGACATTAATATGGCTGAGGTGGCTAACGGAATACTAATATGGGAAAATTATAAGTCATATCATTAGATTTTAATTAAAGATGCATCATCAGATTATGTCATTGATTTTCAATTTCTCGACATCTTACAAACAAGATATCGACATAGCAATTAACAAGCGCCACATCGCCGATTCTTCCAGTAATCTTGAATTTCGCCACCGCTTATCCATCATCTTAGCATCACCATGAAGTGATTGTAGTCATGAACGTGAGGACCAGAACAATAACCTTTCTTGAGGGTGTGGTGGACACAATTGAGGTCGTCCTTTGTAAAGGGACTGTTCCAGCAACAAAGGTGTCGATAGAGGCATTTCTAGTTGCCGAGGTCAGTGAAGAAGGGGTCGACAGCGCGGAGTTGGAATTAGGGGAAGACGGAAAGAAATGTCATGTATCTGTGGTATCATCCGGATTGCATTAATAAATGATTGAGAATTAACGGTCTTGCCTATTTGCAGGTTCAATATGCTAGGAGAAGTTTAGGATTGAGACAACGACTCAAAGTCGTTGCCGGACAAGGTGGATGTGGTGAGTTAGATTTCTTTGTTTGCCACATAAGCATTTATAAAGTTAAATTCAAAATTGTACTCAATCAACCATAAAAGCCGAGTTTATATCCGTATGAATATCAGATGCAATATGATTGACTCTTTACTCATATGCGTACAAGTTAAAGTATGCATTTGACACTTTTCTCCAAAAAGGAACGTGTTGTGGACTCCTTTTGGGGCCACACTTATAAACAACGCATAAATGGTCCAAAGTCCCGAGAGTCAACATCTGGAAGTAGGGCTGTTAACGAACCGAGCTTTTATCGAGCTATTCGGGTTCGAGCTCGGTTTCGAACCTAACGAGCCGAGCTTAACGAACTTTCAAACTCGAACCCGAGCTAAGTTTTAAGTTCGAAAAATTAATCGAGCCGAGCTCGAACATAGTAGTATTCATTTCGGTTCGAACTCAAGCCTATCGAACACCCTGAAATTATAAATATAATTTATATATAATCAAAATTTAATTATAATTAGTGTAATTTTATGAATTTAAATATGATTATTAGCGAACCGAATACTTGTCGGATCATTCGAGCACGAGCCTATTAAAGAGCATCACCTAAAATTTTAAATTCGACCAAATTTATCGAGCTTATAGAGCGCTCGGTTCGAACATCGAACGTCTATCGAGCCGAACACGAGCCTCATTTGTAAAGCTCGTCGAGTTTCGAGCTCGAACCCGAACACCATTAATTCCTTATCGAGCCGAACTCGAGCTTTAGGTGTTCGGGCTCGGCTCGGCTCGTTAACAGCCCTATCTGGAAGTGGCTGAAGTTGAGAATGGGATATAGTTTCCTAATTCTAGTTAGTTTCCTAATTCTAGTATATTTCCTTATTCTAGTTATTTAATATGGCTGAACTGGGAAACAAAGATATTGCTTCCTAATTCTGTTTCAAGTCCTGATTCTAGTCTTGTTTCTAATTATTGTTTCTTTCCTATTTAGAACTCTAAGCAGCCTCTCTATATAAAGGGGTTTTTGCTATGGAATAAAGTACGTTTTTGGAGAATTAATTTGTGCGTCTTGACAAGGTCGGGCGCCAATTAGTTTAACAAGAATAGCTTCATTAAATTCCGCAGATTACTTTTCTCTTTCCCGATTAATATCTCGAACGCATACCTGGACTAGGGCTAGCTCTCGCCTCCTTAACAGAATGATGAGAACTTGTTCCTAAAAGACACAAGGAAGCTTTCTGAATAAGAGCTTATCACAATCTCTAACTATATTTACCAAAAGCATGACATAAAATGAATAAGAGCTAGTAGAATGGTGGCCTGTGTACTGGAGGTACGGAAAATGCAGCCCAATTGTTTGTCCAATGCCCTATGGCACAAGGAGTGTGGAAGGGAGTCGGTTGAGGAATTCAAAATCCTGCAGCTCAGAGTTTCCTGGTGCGGGTTGAACCGTGTTTCTCAGCCAGGAGTGAGGAGCATTGCTACTGGTTGGTGATGGGGTGTAGGGGAAATATGGAAAGTAAGACATGAAAAGGGGTAGCAGATGGTTGATAGTGCTGCAGCAAGAATTATAATCTCTGCTAGGTTCTTGCTGGTGAGTTGGTGCGGGGCTGTTGGGTGTGGGAGGAAGAGAGAGCTGTGGTGTTCATCTGATGCGCACAGATGGAAGATTCCAGTGGCGGGATCGATTATGGATAAAAGATAAATGTTGCAGTAAAGGAAAAAGAAGGAAGAAGCGGGTTTGGCTGGGTGGCACACAACTCGGAAGGAGAATTTCTTGCTGGAGGAGCGCTGTCGGGACTGAGTTGGTGTCTCCCGAGGGACGCTAAGCATACGTGCTTCGAGTTGGGTTAAGATAAAAGGGTGGAATTGTTTGGAGGTTCTGAGGTAGTAAATGCCATTCTTTAAGATGCTGGTGGTTCTTTGCCTGATCGAAGAGACGAAGAGTGTAGTTTTTTTTTTTACAGTAAATCAAAGAGTGTAGTTAGATGTTGCTCCTTTTTGTATTCAGATTTATCTTGATTAATTATAATCAAAGTTAGTTTTATTTTCTTCAAAAACATTATTGGAGCTTGAGGTAATCAGTATAATAACCGAAGTACATACTGCCAAACACTAATTTAGTTAAGAGATGCTTCAATTTAAAAGAAGAGGAAAACTACCAAAGTATATGCTACTGAAGTACACAACACACCATGCTAGTGTATCACTCATAAATGTACTCCGCAGCAGTAAATAGTTTACTAAACTATCCACATTTCAATCCCTCCACAAATACACAATATTACAAAAGGAAAATATGTTTTTATTATCATTACTTTTACTTTTAAAACAAGGAATAATGCTGGTTGTACAGCTTCTCTCGAAGATATGATCACAAAACATTACTAAGTTCCTGGCATTATGACAATGGGCTTTTGACCTTCAATTAATCAGTCTGAATCTGAATCAGGATTGACAGATGACCTTACTGACCTGCGTTGATTTTCATCATCTCTCTCATCATCGTCTTGTTTGTTCTCCTTAATCATTCCTGCAAATCCATGGTCTAGTCACAAGCCAAATTCACCAATATAAAAACTTCTATTGAAAAAACATTACCTTTTTTTAACAAAAAGGCCTCCAGTGTTTTTGTGGAGAAATCGTCCTTTCCTCCCAACTCCTGAAACCCAACCAGCCTATCTGTAGCAATTCCATTCCTAAAAACCAACAAAAAATCCACTTTTCAGGCTATAGAACGTTATGTAGCGTCAATTTTTTTATAACTCGAAGAAACATCTTTTAGTGCTCGGGGCTGAGCACCACAACACAACTGCTTCGAAACCAGCCACAGATTCCGAAACCAAACCCCGGGACAAACGTGAGAGCACCCGAAAAGCTATATCACCCCTTAGATCATAGCTAGGGGTTGAAGCTGTGTGGGATAAGAACTCAAGGAACTAAATCTCCCAAGGGGTTGAAGCACCCCAGAGGGACTACCTTGTCCCGTTTATGTATCGTGTCTATGTATGAATGCAAGGAACACAAAGATGGAAGATACAACAAAACAAATATGAATGCCCACCCCTGCTCCGTTATGTTTACAAGTCTTGAAGCCTTAGCAGACGAACTTTTTTCAGGCTCTAAATCAACTAATTACTGCTAAGGTTGAATCCAAACCCGACAAATGCTCACCCTCACCCTCGGAGGGGGATCTTGACCACAAAATACAAAGAAGAAAAGGTGCCAACTAATGAAAACACAAGCAGCTTGAAATTGTAGGTGACAAGATACAAATACGAAAAATAATATCACAAACATACACATTGTATGAGATGGGATTGACCTGAAAAAGATGACACATGGGAGAGTTTTGATCCCTAGCTTTGTAACAAAAAAGGGAGCATTCTGCAATTAATTATGAAATGAAAACAATCCTCAACTGGTAACTAAATCCAAGGAAAGGACTTTTGCTTCTGCTGCATGCATAAATATATAAGCTTAAGTGAGGCTAACCTCTGCATCCAATTTAAGGAACTTAGTATCAAAATGCTTAGGTGCAAGTGACTTCAAATGCTTATCCATTATCCTGCAAAGTTCAACAGCACACAGTGATGTTAATTTTGCAAGAACTAACTAAAGTTATGTGTGACAAACTTCACTAGGAAAAGACAATCACCCAAAGACAACCAAAAAACAGAAGCCATTTTCTTGCTTGGTTCGCTAAAAGGCTAAAAGGTTAAGAAAGAGTACGGGGTGACTTATTTTCAAAGCAAAAATGTTTTCTTTAGAAAGAACAGTGCTTTCACTTTAAAAATAAGCTTCCTGAAAGAAAATGATAAAAAAGAGCTTTAATAATTAAGAGGACTTTTTGTCCTTACCAAAGAAAGAAAGCACCGGGTTGGACCTTTAAAAAAAACAAGCAAACACTCTTAGTGACTCAACAAGAGAGCACACTTTATAAAACCACTTACAAAAAAACCACCCCACATAAACTCGAAACCAAGTTCAAGGAGAGATTGAATTATGATGAAAAAGTAATTGTGTCAATTTCCTTACTTGCAACGGTAAAACTCCCGATGGGAGAAGTGACAAATTGTTTTTTCACTGCCAGTAACTTCACCCAAAAAATCTCCTTCAGTAATCTCTCTATACTCTCCATGCCCTTTCTTTTTCAATTCTTGTCTCTTCTCAGCTTCTTTCTGAATAAAACCAGTCAAAATAACACATTTATAATAATAAAGAGTTATTCTCATTCCTAAATTAAATATGTCAAAGACTTGAGGTATCGATAAGCCTAATACTAACCCGGAGAGAAGCAATCCTATCAGCATGCAACTTTTCCAACTCAGGATCCTGTTTATTTGACAAACAGGAAGATTAACAGTCCTGTTTAAGTGCAAATAGTGAGAAATGAAGATACATAGACGAACTTACATCCATTAACTCATCAAGATCAACCACTTCGTTAGCATAACTTGAAGTCGCTGCCTTGTCATTTGATAGCAATTCCTGCACAAAAGAATTTATGATAACATTGAGACATAAGCTAAAGAGAGCCTCCAAGATAGAGCTACAAGAAAGAATTAAGACCACGTTGCTGATAGTCCACATATGCAAAGACCTAAATTAGAGAAAAAGGACTATATGAAGGCGATGCATTTTCTACTTAAGCTGAAATGGAACACTAAACCTTCATAAACGTTCAGAAATGAAAAGGAGACTGGTATCACAATTTGATGCAAACTCCTCAGAACCATTTTATTCAGTGGTCCATATAATGTTTCTTAGTGGATACAAAACTAAGTGGGGCTTTGTTCCATAGCTTCTTTCTTAGGAAACATTATACTAGATTGGCAAGTAATAACTCTTTGTCTATAAACTCAGAAAAGTACGATAGAACAGCCGATAAAAATAGTTGAATTCGAATTATCATAGTTTGTTTCAATTGTTCTTGTTGTTCATGCTCTCCAAGTATTATGCAAAATTTAAACCAAAGTTCCAGCACAATACCCATGTAAGTTTCAGGGAAAAATTAAGCTTTCGAACACTATTACATTTAACGAATGAAAAAGGTAGAATTCTAAGTTAGTCAGAAAGGGAAACAGTCATGGTGAAAATAGGAATATTAGTAACAGAAAAGAGAGACCTTTTGATAGTCGCGAGCTGCCGCGGCAATGACATTTCCAAATGCCAACGTAGAAAGAGTTGATTTCACCGAGTCGGGATCCATTGCTCCCTTCCTCTCTCAGATAACAGAATTGCTTGAAATTCCGTATGATAATAATATATCTACGAGAATGAATTTCGGAACTCAGTTTCCAAGCAGCGCTAACTTGGCTTTCTTTCTTCTTTTTCCTGTTGTTTATTCAAGCTTGAGTCTTGACGAGTTTGAAGTTTCGGATTTTGGATGTTTTCTTAAGTTGGATCCAATGGAGAAAGGAAATTGGTAAAACTGCAAAATTGGATAGGGGGTCAACAGTAATGTGGGAGGCTTTTAAGCCCTGCATCTTGTAAATATTCTCCCTTTATCCCCCTTTCCATTTTCAGCCTCGTAATTTGGTCCCTAGTCCCTACCATGTAATCATTTACGAGTAGGACTTTAGAGCATCTCCAATACTAAAATGTGTACGGTGCACATGTTGCATGAGTGATAGCCACATAAAATATTAGTAAATAAATTATCTCTCTCCTTATTTGAATGATTTTATATAATTTTGGTAAGTTTTTCCCTGCAATGTCAACTGCAATGTCAACATTTAGACGGTCTTCTTGACATTGTGGAGAAAAACTTACTAAATCTGTATAAAATCATTAAAATAAGGAGAGAAAGAATTTATTTACTAATATTTATGTGGCTATCTCTCATGCCACGTGTGCACCGTGCACATTATACCATTGGAGATGCTCTTAGGAGTCCAAATTGTAAATCAGGGCTTAGTTCACTTGGTAGGAAAAAAATTGTAAATCTGTTACAAGAAACAGATTTCAAGTTCAATTTTAAATACTTCCTTCCTTTCTTGAAACTTTGTCATTTTTCCATTTTGGGACATCCCAAAAAAGTGGGCTGGAAAAAAGGCACGTGAGATCAATCCCGGAGGTTTTAAGTTGTGGTATTCGGGGAGAGAAAGGAACATAAATGGAGTAGGCGTTATTGTGGCACAAGATTATGTTGAGGGTGTGGTGGAAGTCTTTAGGAAGATTGACTGCATCATGAGCATTAAGTTGATAATAGGAGATGAGATCGTGTCAGTGGTAAGTGCCTATGCACCACAAGTGAGATTGGTTGAATCTATCACTCAACAATTTTGGGAGGATCTTGAGGAGGTGGTGCGACGAGTGCCAAGGGGAGAGAAGCTGGTCATAGGAGGCTGTTAGTAATATACGAATTATGTTAAGATGAGCTGGCATTCTGATAGTTAGTTAGAGTCTTGTTAGACAAGTTTGTTAAGACTCAACTAAACCTAGCTAGAGCTAATCTGTATAAATACTGATGTAACTTTCCTCTTTCAATAATAAGAATTCTATTCTTCTTCTTCATTTTAAATCTCAGTTCTGTTTCTAATAGAGGCGACCTCAACGTGCATGTGGGCCCGAGCCGTGATGGTTTTGAGAGTATCCATGGCGGACATGGTTTTGGCACTAGAAATGAAGCGGGGAAGAACATTTTGGATTTTGCCTCGACATATGAGTTGGCTGTGATGAACACTTTGTTCAAGAAAAGAGACTCTCACCTTGTGACCTATAAAAGTGGAGCTAATAGTACCCAAATTGACTACTTCTTAGTACGGACTACTTGGAGAACTAGCTACACCGATTGTAAGGTTATCCCAGGTGAGAGTGCTGTCACTCAACATAGGATGCTTGTTCTTGATTTTCAAGGTAAAAAGAGAAGGAAGGTTAAGGTACAAGGGGAGCCGAAGATAAAGTGGTGGAGGCTAGAGGGGAATCTCCAACAAACATTTACGCAGAAAATGTTGGAGGAAGATGTATGGTCCTTTAATGATGACGCACATGTGGATGATGTGTGGTTATCAATGGAGTTCACCTTTAACAAAGTGGCGAAAGAGATACTTGGAGAATCTAAAGGAAGTCTACCACCAAAAAAGGACACATCTTGGTGGAATGATGAAGTGAAACCAGCAATAAGGATCAAAAGGGGATGCTATAAGAAATTGGGCAAAAGTTGGAGCGACGAGAACATAGAGGAGTACAAGGAGGCTAGAAGAAGAGCAAAGAAAGTTGTAAAGGAAGCAAGAGGAAAAGTGAACAATGAATTGTATGCAAAATTGGACTCTAAGGAAGGAGAAAAAGATATTTATAGACTTGCTTGTCTTCGTGACCGTAAGACTCAAGATGTAGGAAAAGTTAAGTGTGTGAAGGATGTCGATCAAAGAGTACTAATGGAGGATGGGGAGATAAAAGAGAGGTGGAGGTCTTACTTTGATACACTATTCAACGGGAACAAACGCAAGATAACGGTGGTTTGACCATACCGGATTGTATGGTAAATCGTGATTTTGTGAGAAGGATCCAAACAACGGAAGTTAAGGAGGCTTTGAGGAAGATGGGGCGGAAGAAAGCAGTGGGTCCAGATGGCATACCGATCGAGGCTTGGAGAAGTTTGGGAGAGAGAGGCGTCGAGTGGTTAACAAGTTTTTTCAACATGATTTGGAGAAATAACAAGATGCCGACAAGTTGGAGGAAGAGTACTCTTATCCCCTTATTCAAGAATAAAGGTGATGTATAAGAATGTACCAACTATCGAGGGATTAAGCTTATGAGTCACACCATGAAACTTTGGGAGCGAGTGATTGAGCAAAGACTTCGAAGAATAGTGAAGATTTCAGAGAATCAATTCGGTTTTATGCCTGGTCGCTCAACAACTGAGGCAATTCACCTTCTTCGGTAGCTTATGGAGAAGTATAGAGATGCTCACAAGGATCTGCATTTGGTGTTCATTGACTTAGAAAAGGCTTATGATAGGGTACCTTGATAAGTTCTTTGGTGGGCCTTAACTAGAAAAGGCATATCACGCAAGTATATCAGCATTATCATGGATATGTATGAGAATTGCACTACAAGTGTCCGTACTAGTGTAGGGAGGGCTGCGGAGTTCCTTATTACTATCGGAGTGCACCAAGGATCGGCTCTGAGCCCTTTTTTATTTGCCATAGTCATGGATGAACTTACAAAGTCAATTCAAGACGATATATCGTGGTGCATGATGTTTGCCGACGATATTGTATTGATTGATGAGACGCAATCAGGGGTTAAAGCAAAGTTGGAAGTATGACGACAGACATTGGAGAACAAGGGTTTCAGACTAAGTCGGAGCAAGACAGAGTACATAGAGTGCAAGTTTGGTGGAGGTAGAAGCAGTGGTAATAGTGGAATTACTCTAGAGGGTAAGGAGATGTATCTCATAGAATCAAAACAGGGTGGATGAAGTGGAAGAGTGCGTCAGGATTTCTATGTGATAGAGGTATGCCCACTAGACTGAAGGGTAATTTTATAGGACAGCAATTAGGCCTGCATTGTTGTATGGTGTAGAGTGTTGGGCGGTGAAACAATGTCACATTCAAAAGATGAGTGTGGCAGAGATGCGCATGTTACGTTGGATGTGTGGGCATACTAAGAAGGACCATGTGCGAAATGAGACAATCAGATAAAGGGTGGGAGTAGCACCTATTGAAGACAAGATGCGGGAGTCTCGCCTACGGTGGTTTGGTCATGTGCATAGAAGACCGAGTGATGCACCTGTCAGACGTGTTGAGATGTGTGGAGAAGAGGCAGGGAAGAGAGGGAGAGGAAGACCCAAACAGACATGGGTTAGGGAAGTCCGAAGTGATATGCTTCTTCTTGGGTTAGATGATGGTATGGGTTTGGAGAGAGCAAGGTGGAGAGCGGGTATTCGTGTGGAGGAGTGATCTCGTATTATTTTTTCCCCTCATCTTTTTTCTTGTTGTTTTTTTATTCTTTTATCCTCATATATATAAACATTATTTTTGTCCTTTTTATTTTATCATGTTTAGGTATATTCATCTCATTTTATATTATCCTTTTATATTAATTTATTTTTTATCTTTATTTTCTTTCTTTTCCTTTTGGTGGTGATATCATGTATCGATTCATGTTAGCCGACCCCAATATCTTTTGGGACTAAGGCTTGGATGTTGTTGTTGTTGGGACATCCCAAAAAACTTTGACACTTTCCCTTTTAATCAATTATTTTGTGGTTTCTGTTATTTCTCTCTCCTCTGCACAAACCTCAATCACACAGTTTTTACTTTATTATTCTCCGTGCCGGTCAACTTTGACAAAGTTTTAAGAGACAGAGGTAGTAGTAATTTGGGGTGAAATCATTTTCTTTTCATCAGAATATGATCACAGTTCAATTTACATCCTGCCAGATAACTATTCGATCAATTCTATAGAAGCTCAGAGATGGAGTGTCTTCCTTTTTAAGAAGTCCAAATTGTCTATTTCTTTTACATTTGAGACTCCTAAATCCTAATGACTTTGGACCATAAGTCTTAACATATTCGCACACATTTGTGGAGGAGTAGTGAGGTTGCTGCCAGGGAGATTGAGGAGTAGGAGTTGCACCATTTGTAGATTGGAGCCGAAAAACTGGACAAGAACGAGCAGTATGACCCTGAGTGCGACATGATTGGCACACACCAAGATACGGCCTAGGAGCTACGGAGCCAGAGGGAGACGGACGGCTGGAGGATGATCCACAACCAGAGGAGTTGTGACGTCCACGGCCACGGGATCTGTGCGGAGAGCGCCCGCGAGCAATATTGGCAGTGATAAGCATTGGCGAAGATTCAGCCTCCTGAAGCAGTTTAAGTTCACGGTTGATAAGTTTTTCATGAAGCTCGGTGTAAGTAATGCATGTCTCACGTCCTTCAACGGCTTCAATGACGGGTTTATAGCCTTCATCAAGACCATTGAGAATGTACTCAATGAGATCCTCATGATCCAAGGGCTTTCCCAAAAGGGCTAATTCATCAGCGCCATTTTTTATGAATTGTGTATATTCACCAATGCTTTTGGATCCCTTCTTGTAGTTTTTGAGCTGAGATTTCAATTGCTTAATATGCCCACGAGATGTAGTTTGTGGGAGTGAGTTTGATCACATTTCCGAGATTGACAGAAATGAGCGGTTTATTGGGTTCAGAAGAGTTGGGAATATGAATATCACTAGAAGTGTGGCCGGAGGTGGCATCGGAAGCCATGGTGATTAAGAAGAGCTTAAGCAGCCGAGAGGAGAGAAAAAAAAGTAAACGATTTGGATCAAGAGCTCAGATACCATGTAGAAGTAATATGAAAAGAGTAATTGTATTCACACTTTATTCAAGTATATATGTGAAGTATATATAGGGGTACAAATGATGAGATCAAGTGTAACTAACTAAGAGATAATATTTACAATTAATGAATTACACAAGATAATATTTCTAAGATTTATCTCTAATAAGTACT